TTGTGGCAGATGGCTGTTGTCCTAGCTACTTGGGAGGCTGAGGCAAGAGAATCACTTAAGCCCAAGAGTTTGAGGTTGCTGTGAGCTGTGACGCCATGGCACTCTACCCAGGGTGACAGCTTGAGACTCTGTCTCAAAAAAAAAGTACACTGGAATTACCTGTACCAGACTAAAATTTCTTATAAAATACATGTATTTTTTAGATCCAGTAAAATATTTTACATTTGAAATTTTTTCTCTCAACATTAGGAAAGAAAATTAGCTAATTTTCATTTTTATAAACTACTTTGAGGTAAAGATTCCTATGTTAAGGAGTATTTTTATTTTCTTGGGTTTTTTTTTAAATTTTTATTTTCTGCTTGATTGAGGACCTCAGTATTTTGATAAAAGTTGGCTGTTAAGGAGGCCACTGTCATAAATTTAAGCTTTTTTGCACAGAAAAAAATTTATGAAGAAACAAATTATTCTGTCACCACAACTTAAGTCTATAACACTGATTCACAACTTTTTGCTTATAGTGGTAAGCAGAATAAAGGTATCAGTAGCCAACAACTAACATTGATTCACAACTCATTCCTAAACATTTTATTATCAGTTTCATTTACCCCCCAAAGTATTTTCAAAACACACTAGCCGACAGTTTCTGGCAATTTATTGTTACTGTTTTTTAAATCCTTTGCTGCGTGTGGAAGTTTTCTTGAACAGCAATTGACCGACAGGTAAATATACTGCTAGACATTTAATCCTGGACATTAACTACACACATTTTATGCATGTAGACACATCACAGTATTTGTCACATTTAGTGATGCACATCATGTTGTCTTTCCTGTAATGCTGCTTCTTAGAGGCTACCAAATACAAGTGAACTATCCTTTTTCATGTCTAAGTCAGATTAAAGATATGTGAGATTAAAGATTTAATCATAGTTATGTAAATAGACTAAGCTAATTTGGTAATACTTAATAAAGCAATTACAAAAAATATTACCATTTCAGGCAACATTCCAGAAGTTATGGTTTGATTACAAGAAAAAGGATAGCTTATTGTACAAGGCCATATCATAGTGTTTCTTTACTATTTAATAAGGAAAAGAAATTCTGTTTTCTTAATGATTTCTTTCCTCTCCCTCTAAAGATACCCATTCTAGAAATAAAACTGAAGATCCTCCCAGTTCTCGGAGTAATAGGTGGAGCAATATTTTCCTGTTCGAATTATTTCCACGTTATCCTCCATGGTGGCGTTGGCAAGAATGGATCCACTATAGCAGTAAGGCATTAATTTCATTATCATTCAGCATTAATTTTATGATACATTTTCTTATTATCACCTATAAAAAGATACTAGAAAGCCAAAGTTCAAGAATGAAGAAGGAAACTGTCTAAACTTATTTCAGGCATATAGTACAAAAGCATTTAAAAACAATTCAGACTGATGATAAAGCATTTTTCCTCTTTGTGTAAGCTTGCTCTGTGTAGACTTTTCTGACATTCATTACCCTACATAATTAAGAGTGACTATTTGTTTTCCTACATTTTGTGCCTTGAATAGGGGAGAGGAGGGAGAGTAGGGAATGAGTTCCTGATTTGAATGGCAGGAAAGCTGCCAAAGGTCAGTGGTTTCACACCTGGGGCAATTTATTACTCATACAGTAATGTTACAGAAATTCACTAAAAATGCTAGTCTAATATTTTTAAAGGTTTTTTTCTTAATTCTTGAGTAATTATACATTGTGTTTGTTTTTTACCCCCTTGCTCATACTATAGTACTTATGTATTTATTCACATTTGACTTTTTAAACTTTTTCAATACCTTTAAGGAGGAAGGAGTTGGAATTCCTGCCAACTTTTTAAATAAATATAATGCCTTTGTTTTTTAAAAGCCTTCAAGATAGTTGAGCATAGGAAGATAAATTCTTATTCCACTGATACCCTTATACTGGTGGCTTACACCTGTAATCCTAGCACTCTGGGAGGCTGAGGCAGTGGATTGCTTGAGGTCACAAGTTTGAGCCTGAGCAAGAACAATACCCTGTCTCTACTAAAAATAGAAAAATTAGCCAGGTATTGTGGCAGATGCCTGTAGTCCCAGCTACTTGGGAAGCTGAGGCAAGAGAATTGCTTAAGCCCAAGAGTTTGAGGTTGCTGTGAGCTATGACACCATGGCACTCTACTGAGGGTGACATAGTGAGACTGTGTCTCAAAAAAAAAAACATGTGGCAATGTATTATGTCTGTGTAACCCTAGGATTCTGTGGAAGTTTAAAAAGCATAGTTAAAGTTTATATATGCCTTTAGGTCATATACTACATCATACTCTTCTGTAAGTCTCTAGTTCCTGGCACAAAATAGATGCTCAGAAAATGTTTCCATTATAATAAACATGCAGTGTTAAAATGTGATACTGATTTTATGCTTTATCCCTTAGGGCACCAGTGTCTTGTCACCTGGACTCCACATAGGACTAATTATTATACTGGCAATAATGATCTATAAAAAGTCAGCAACTAATGTGTTTGAAAAGCATCCTTGTCTTTACACCCTAATGTTTGGGTGTGTCTTTGCTAAAGTCTCTCAAAAATTGGTGGTAAGAAATTATTTTATAATTCATGGTATAAATAATATATTTAGATTTCAAATACAAAGCTAGAAATTATTTCATATGGTTTATAAGTTTCCTTTGTCATGTCAACATCGTAATAATTAGTTATTCATGTTCCAAGTTAAACTGTGATATGAGTTAATGTATTCAGTTGTTTTAATTATTATAGTTGCAATTATCAATTTTAATTTTCTGAATTTGCAATTTTCAAAGCATTTAAACATTAGATACTTTAATAATCTACCCAATCATGAATTTGAGGTTTAGGTAAGTACTGTCATGTATTGTCATGTCAAATGTGAGATTAAATGTTCTCTTTATCTTTAATACTGTATTAACATAACTAATTTTGTCCTGAAAATAAAAGCTAAAATATTTAAAATATAATAGTGAAATTACTTTGTTTACTTTTTTATAGATAGCTCACATGACCAAAAGTGAACTGTATCTTCAAGACACTATCTTTTTTGGGCCAGGTCTGTTGTTTTTAGACCAGTACTTTAATAATTTTATAGACGAATATGTTGTTCTATGGATAGCAATGGTGAGTACTTTCTGTTTTTTATTTATAATATCTGCTAATAGATGCCTGATTATACTATACTAAAGATACCTTTCAATGAGCTTTCAATAGCCTGAATAGTCCATACAGTAAATGCTTCTGAATACTTGAAGTTACTTATTTTAAGCTATGAATCATTTTATATTGTATATAGCAATAGCCAACATGTCTGGTAGTCAGTCTTTCAACAGCTCAGATCCTTGGGAACACAACTATATACCTAAAAGTAACTAGATCTTTCTTCTTAAAAAAAAAAAAAAAGTTCAAAGATGTAAATAACTACTTAATTCTGCCCAAAGGACTTTCTGACTTTAATTAATCAAGCTTATTAGTGTTATTCCCAGTTTATAGCAGGTAATAGGCAAACTGGATGGTGTTAATGCTAGCAAAAGTGGGCACTTTATTACATCAAGAATTGTCAGTTAGGCCCAGCACTCTGGGAGGCAAAGGAAGGTAGATTGCTTTAGCTCAAGAGTTGGAGATCAGCCTGAGCAAAAGCAAGACCATGTCTCTGCTAAAAATAGAAAAAGGAGCTGGGCATTGTAGTGGGCACCTACTGTCCCAGCTACTCAGGAGGCTAAGCTAGGAGGATAGGTCAAACCCAAGCAAAAGTTTGAGGTTGCTGTGAGTTATGATGCCACAGCTCTCAAGCCTTGGCAACAGAGTGGGAATCTGTCTCAAAAAAATTGTCAGCTCGGGCAGCACCTGTGCCTCAGTGAGTAGGGCGCTGGCCCCATTACCGAGAGTGATGGGTTCAAACCTAGCCCTGGCCAGACTGCAAAAAAATAGGCAGGCATTGTGGCGGGGGCCTGTAGTCTACTTGGGAGGCTGAGGCAAGAGAATTGCCTAAGCCCAAAAGGTTGCTGTGAGCTGTGATGGCATAGCACTCAACTGAGGGCGATAAAGTGAGACTCTTATCTCTTTAAAAAAAACATTATCAGCTAATATTGAGGTAGCAAACAGAATAGACAGTACTGCTAAGTACATGATACTGAGACCATTTTATGCCTGAGCAACCCTCTATGTATAGCACTTGATAGTACACTATATGTATTATTAATGATTTAGCCATCAAGCAAAAGAAATTCTCATTGAATATCTTAAGAATGTGGATAATATATATGCTAACTTATCTTCAAAATGATTATAAAATATAGAGTATAATGCTTAACAGAGACACTTGAGCCATCTGAGGAAAAGAAAACCATTATTGATAATACTTTAGTCACAAAATTGGATAAATGGAGCATTATTAAATTTTGTATAGTATTAAGACATATCTTTATGGTTGCTTTTCAACTAGCAGTGGATTTAAATAGTTTTTTGGGCTCAGCGCCCATAGCTCAGTGGTTAGGACCACGGTCAAATACACCAAGGCAGGCGGGTTCAAATCTGGCCCAGGCCTGCTAAACAACAACTCCAACAACAAAAAAAATTAGCCAAGTGTTGTGGCAAGAACCTGTAGTCCCAGCTACTTGGGAGGCTGAGGCAAGAGAATTGCCTAAGCCCAGGAATTGGAGGTTGCTGTGAGCTATGATGGCACAGGACTCTACCCAGGGTGACAAAGTAAGACTTTGTATCAAAAAAAAAAAAAAAAAAAGTTTTTTGGTCTTTTTTTTTTTTTTGGGTTTTTTTTTTTTTTTGCAGTTTTTGGCTAGGGCTGGGTTTGAACCCACCATCTCCGGCATATGGGGCTGGTGCCCTACTCCTTTGAGCCACAGGTGCCTCCCTCTTATTTTTATTTTTTAAAGGCTAGTCAAATGAAGCAGTGTGAGTGGAGCAGGAACAAAGGATCTCTAACTGGTTGTGATCAATTATTTGCAAACACCACTGCATTCAGACCAGCCAGAATTGAATAGTTTTGCTGTATTTTTCTCTATCTCTGGACCTCACTGAACATTATTAAACTGTTGGATATACATGCCTATGAACATTGAAATATACTTTTAAAAAAACCCAGCAATTCCTCTTTTGATAATTTCAGTATACGTTAGATTTAGGTTTTTAAAAAATCTGTATCTGTTCTGTGGATGGCCCACTGGGATATCTCAGATGATCCTTTACAAAATTGTATAGGACACTTTTTCTGAAGAAGATTAATAATTTAATATTTACTCATAGTCCATTCAAAAGTCTTCCATTTTTCCTACAGTGGTGGTGAGATATAATTCTTCATCCCTTTAGGTAAACAATGACCTTCTAGGCAATATTCTAAAAAATGTTTGAAAACTATAATAATTTTCTTTGTTATCCACTATAAATATTTTTAGGTCTCCAAAATAGTCCAGATTTAAGAAATAGGAGGTGATTATTCAAAATATCTGAAAATTGGCTTGGTGCCTGTGGCTTAAGCAGCTAGGGCACCAGCCACATATAACTGAGCTGCTGGGTTATATCCAGGCCGGGTCCGTCAAACAACAATGGCCACAACCAAAAAATAACCAGGCGTTGTGGCAGGCACCTACAGTCCCAGCTACTTGTGAAGCAGAGACAGTAGAATCACTTGAGCCCAGGACTTGGAGGTTGCTGTGAGTTGTGATGCCACGGCACTCTACCCATGGTGACAGCTTGAGGCTCTATCTCAAAAAAAAAAAAGAAAAAGAAAAAGAAAAAAATCTGAAAATTCAATTTAGGCTTTAGTGAACCTAGGTATGTATTACCAAATGGAATTCTTAAATAGAAGATATCAGGTATTAAAAATTCAAGCATCTATTTTGTAATAAGTAGTTAGCCTGGGGTAGACTGGAGAACTGAGAAAACACCATGTGGACAACACACACACAATGCAGACCATATAAAACATATGTGCCCTTTGGCATAAACTTCTTGCTACGGAGAAAGAGAGCTTGATGGAGCTTTTCAAGTAAGCAATACGAGAGATTTTTCCTTCATGGGTGAGAATTTCCTGTACAAGGGCAGAGCTATGAGGGTCCTCTTTATCCTGGACTTAAATTTTTTGAAGAGAAGCATTTGACTGTGGTCTCTGGGAAAAATCTCTAAATAGAAGCCTTTCTCTAGACATTCTCCTTAATTTTATAAACATCATTTTTATACATGCCTCCTCTCAACTATGGTGTCTTTTCCAGACCTTTTATCTTCTTACAACATATGTGATAGAGTGAATTCATTTTAAGATAATGACTATAGCCTTTTCTAGAAGGAAATCTGTAGCTTCATTGTACAGTGGAAAGTAGAATATAGAGTCAGGAAGGTAGGGGTCCATTACTTTTGAGCTTTCATATTTTAGTCTAGTCCTTTTATTTCACTTCAGTTTCTGTAATTGTGAAATAACTGGCATATTCCAGAGGGTGATAGTGAAGTCCAAATATGAAATATACCAAAGTACTTTGAAATTTAATATTTTTGGTGAAGAATTTTAGGTTAAGGTTTGAACTTTAGGGCCGGGGAAAATGCTAGTTGAGAAAAGACAGACCATAATTAATTTTGTATATTTTTTGCTTCTAAAGGTAATTTCTTCACTTGATATGATGATATACTTTAGTGCTTTGTGCCTGCAAATTTCAAGACACCTTCATCTAAGTATCTTCAAGACATCATGTCATCAAGCACCCGAACAGGTTCACAAGCATATTGACTGATAATAGCCCAAAGAAAAGAGGAGATGCAGTTAGGGGAACCTATGAGTGAAGGAAATCCCCCTGTACAGGAGGCTAGTATACTATCAAATAAGGTTCTACTTGAATATAAAACACAAATACTCCAGCTTCTGTTATGTCTATTTCAGTTATGAAGCCCTCATTGTGTATCAACATTTTTGATCACAGGTATTCTTGGAGTATTACAATCTATAAATTAAAAACAAGACTAAAGAAAGAAATTTCAGTCTGGACAGTAAGTGAACCCCTATAGTCCTGTGACTATAGTTCACTAATCCTGTAGTTCTAAACAGATTATCTTCTTTGTCTGAGAAATACTTACTAGGTACTTAAGAGTTTTCACTGCCAAAGGATTACATAAAAATTCAGAATGTAAAGAGTTTTGGCCATCTTGAGTGTACATACTTTAACAAAAATCAAAAAGTAAGCTCACAATACTGCTCGAGTGCTTGGCTTATAATATTGTAATTATAGAGTCAAGTGGTTAAGAACTTTTTAAAATCATAATCATTTTTCAAATCTTCAGCTCCATCTGACCCTATTAATTTTATACAGTAGTTCCATAGACCAACCATGTACCAAATGATGGAATAATCAGAAAAACAAAGGAGTAATGAACATGTACTACTTCTTTCCTAGGCAAGAAAAAGGCATACTGGAAAAAAAGTGAAAAGATATTCCTTAAAAGGAAAAAAGTATACCTATGTGAATTAAGTATGCAGAAAACACTCTAGAGTGTTTTGCCTCTGTAACTATTGGTTAAACTTTCTGTGCATTAATGTACACAGCTATGATTTAATTAAAAAAAAAAAACGAATTCAAGACAAAATCACCAAAAAAAGAGGTAAAACTTTCCAAGTAAGAACCTTCTTAGAATTTAAATAGCGCTTAAGATTTATAGCCTAACACATACTTTGGCTTACAAGGAAAATCCCTTACAAAGTTTGAAATTTGGCCAGGCATGGTAGGTCATACCTGTAATCCCAGCATTCTCGGAGGCCGAGGAGGGGGGATTGCCTGAGCTCACGGGTCCAAGACCAGCCTAAGCCAGCGAGAGACCTTATCTCTAAAAATAGCTGGGCGTGTGGCAAGCACCTGTAGTCCTAGCTATCAGGAGGCTGAGGCACATGGATCACTTGAGCCCAGGAGTTTGAGGTTGCTGTGAGCTGTGATGCCACAACACTCTACCAAGGGCAACTCTGTCTCAAAAAACAAACAAACAAACAAACAAAAGTTTGAATTTTAGAAAGTAAACTGTCCTTTTCATGTCAAATACTTGTTATTGGTAGAGGACTAATTTCTTTCTGTACAAGTTATCACAGAATTAGAGAATCTACATGGACTTGTTTTTTGAAATCTGGAAAACCTTAAAACCAAGATAAGTGTGGGTTACAGAAGCAAAAATTAGAATTTAAAACATGGAAAAGCAGGAGAAAATTACTCTTCTCCTAAGGGTCATGTTTTTTGAATGATTCATGAAAAGCAATTTCAGCAAAAAATACAAAATTTAACTGACTCATTTCACATATATGTTGAAATAAGTTAATATTTATTACCAAGTGTTTGTTATTCTATGTAAAAAAATAAACATTTTAAAAGATATAAAAATTAACTGGGTTTGAAAATAATGTAAAATTAAAACCCCAATTTCAAAAATCAGTATTACTGAATTTTAAAATTGAAAAAAAAAACATTCTTGGTATTCTATTTTTAAAGAAGATGTTATACACTTAAATCCTAAGTAATTAGGTATATTAATGATGTGCACTTAATCAGTGCTAAGGGCATTTGTTATTTAATTGCAGACCAAGCCCGATTAAATGACATTTTGCTATCTTTGTGGAAATTATAGATTCACAAATCCATGTCTTAAAAACTGATATTTATATAATCTTGCTTAGTTGTTGATTTAATGTTCAGAGGTTAATGATTTTAGCAGTTTTATTCTTGCACATAAGTTCATCTTATTTTCATTAGAATTGGTTGTGTAACTTAAGTATGTAGAAAAGGATGTACACGTAAAATAGATTTTGTATTTCCTTTTTTCTTAAAGAACAATGTAACCTTCTATACCTGTGCTTTCTACGTTTGGGGACTAATGCAGATACATGGAAACCAAAACCTAGAATTAAATCATCTTTATTGCTAAAAGTTAATTGACAGTGTTAAAAAGAAAAAAGAGCTGAAAGCTTGATACATATCATTTAGTAATAGCTGTCATTCACATAACTATTCAGAGTTGATTTGGATTAACAGAAAGGAAGGTCTTACACTGAAACAAGCTAATGATTAAGGGTATTATAATTTAAACTAGAATTTCTAAACCACTCTGAAGACTGACATGCCTCTTAGCTAATGTTATAATTGTATATTACTTAGGTTCAAGTTCTTTCTTCAAAGAGTCATCAGAATAACATGGATTGAAGAGACTTTCGAACACTTGCCATCTCTTGCTGCTGCTGTTTCGTGAAAGGAGATATTAAGTGTTTAATTTTTAGTTAAGTGTTATAACTACTACAGCAAATAAAATATTTCAGTGCTTACATTAATCCTTATTTTTTTAATTTTAAACACAAAAACTTACAGTTTCCATCATAACTTTTTTTTGCAACATAGCCATTTCTTTTTTAAGTTCATTTTGTGCACCAGTAAGAACATTATCCTGCTCTTTCTCTAAGTCCTCCATACTCTGAAATACAAAATGCTAGTTAAGTTACAAACTACTACTTTTCATCTTAAGTTCTGTTTCAACAGTAAGAACTTTTTAATATTCAAATAAATGATCGTTTTTAACATAGCTCCACAGTGAATAGAAATGCTGATTATTTATTCCAAATTTAAAAGTTCTGGACAATACATAAATACCAAAATACCTACTATAAAGGAAAAAAAATCAGAGATGAATCAAATATTATTACAGCAAGTACAACAGTAGTACTTTGCTTAAAACAATAGGTTAATGAACCGTTAAGGTCAAGATTGAACAACAACAACAAAAAAAGACTTTCTGAAAAGCCCTCATCAACATACCATAAATTTTAAAATTTCTATTAAGCATGCCAAATATCAGATAATAATCTATGACTAATAGTCAATGTGACATGAATTTAGTGGACAGAATGAAATGTTCTGAAGTATGACATTTTTCAAGTTATGAAAAACAAAAATTATGTATTAAATATTACTATTCATTTAACAAATAGTTATCCAATGCCTACCATGTAAAAAGTACTACGTTAAATGCTGGAGACATTAAAAATAAACAAAAATAACACACAAATAGTTACCCAATGCCTACCATGTAAAAAGTACTACGTTAAATACTGGAGACATTAAAAATAAACAAAAATAACACACAAATTTTATAACAGGGAACGAAAACCACTTGAAGTGCCTATTTAGTGGGAAATGGAGATTAATTCCAATTTAGTTGCCAAAAGAATAAGATTTCAATAGATAAAAAAGAACTCTAATTATTCTAGGGAAAAGGATAGCAAAGCATGGAAGTACACAGTTAGAAAAAGCAATTATTTGGGGAGGTGGGGTAATGAACAAATGTAGTAATGAAGCTCTCCCTTAGGGGGAAATCCTGAAGACCTAAGAATTTAGCATGGAAAACTAAGTTTTCCAAGAGAGAAGCAAAATATTTTAGAACGACGTGTGGCAGACACATGAGGGATACATTGGAAGACAGAGAAACCAGTTAAGAGTTTTAATGGTACAAGCAAAGCATGATGATGTCCTGAAGAAGGGTAGTAACAGTGGAAATTAAAAGAAAGAAATAACCACTTCAGGGGTAAAAATTATAGGGCCTAGAAATAACTGTATGTGAAGGATAAAGGTGATGGAAGAATCAAAGATTATACTATAGTTCCTTTACTAAGTAAAATTTAGTGATAACATTGATATTTGATAACTTTATCAAACCTTCACACCAATCAACAAATAGTTCTGTGGGACCATTAAAGCAAGACGACAAGTTCTCTGGACACTTAAAAAATAACTTTTGTGGCCAGGTGTGGTGGCTCATGCCTATAAACCCTGCTCCTAAAGAAGCTGAGGCAAAAGGACTGCTTGAGCTCAGGAGTTTGAGATGCAGTGAGCTATGACTGTGCCACTACACTTGAGCCTGGGAAGCATAGCAGTACCCTATTTCTTAAAAAAAGAATTTCTAAAAAATAGTGTTCATATATATTCACATTAGTTATTTTAAAAATTTATTCATTTTAAAACTGTTTTGTTAGTTTACTCTGAGTATCCCAATTCCTTTACAAGAGTTATATTTTAACATGTATTTGAACAAGAGTATCTAAAAGAATCCACCATTTAAAAAAAAAAAAAAGTATATGGAGGAAGATTCCATTGAGCTTCTATATAGTATGAATAGTTACTTAAATATATATCAATATTGTAAAAATGTAAATATATATCAACATTGTTAAAATGTCTATACTTCCCAAAGTAATCTACAGAGTCAATGCTATCCCTATTAAAATACCAACATCATACTTTCAAATATATATACTTTCCCATACTTGGGAAAAAATAATTCTTCGTTTTGTATATAACCAGAAAAAAACCCATGTAGCCAAGGCAATTCTTAGTAATAAAACAAAGCCAGGGGCATCAGCCTACCAGACTTTAGGCTGTACTACAAGGCCATAGTGATCAAAACAGCATGGTATTGGCACAAAAATAGAGACATAGACATTTGGAACCAAATAGAAAACCAGGAGATGAAACAAACATCTTAATGCCACCTAATCTTTGATAAACCAAACAAGAACATAGATTGGGGAAAAGAATCCCTATTCAGTAAATGGTGCTGGGAGAATTGGATATCCACATGTAAGAGACTGAAACTGGACCCGCACATTTCTCCACTCACAAAAATTGATTCAAGATGGATAAAAGACCTTAATATAAGGCATGAAACAATTAAAATCCTCAAAGAAAGTGTGGGGAAACACTGGAAGCTACCGGCCTGGGAAAGGACTTTATGAGGAAGACTTCCGTGGCAATCGCAACAACAAAAATAAACAAGTGGCACTTAATGAAACTGAAAAGCTTCTGTACAGCTAAGGCAACAACAACCAAGGCAAACAGATGACCTACACCATTGGGAAAGGATATTTGCTCATTTTGATTCAGACAAAAGCTTGATAACTAGGATCTACCGAGAACTCAAATTAATAAACATAAAAAGAGCCAACAATCTCTTATATCACTGGCCAAGAGAGATGAATAGAACCTTCTCTAAAGAAGAGGAATGGCTAACACATGAAAAAATGCTCATTGTCCCTAATTATTAGACAAATGCAAATCAAAACCACCCTGAGGCATTATCTAACCTCTGAGAATGGCCCTCATCACAAAGTCTTAAAAATGCAGATGCCAGCATGGATGTGGAGAGAAGAACACTTACACTGCTGGTGGGACTGCAAGCTAAAACAACCTTTTTGGAAGGCAGTATGGAGAACCCTCAAAGAACTCAAGCTAGACCTCCCATTTGATCCTGCCATCCCATTGCTGGGCATCTACCCAGAAGAAAAAAATTCCTTTAACCTCAAGGATGCTTGCACTAGACTGTTTATTGCAGCTCAATTTACAATCACCAAAATGTGGAAACAGCCTAAATGCCCACCAACCTAGGAATGGATTAACAAGCTGTGGTGTAAGTATACCATGGAATACTATTCAGCCATTAAAAAAGATGGGAGACTTTACATCCTTTGTATTAACCTGGATGGATATGGAACACATTATTCTTAGTAAAGCATCACAAGAATGGAGAAACAAGAATGCTATGTACTCAATTCTGGTATGAAGACACTTAAGGTACTAGTACACAGTGGAGGGTGGGGGATGGGGAGAGCTGAGAAAGGGAAAGAGGGAGGGAGTGGGGGACAAAGGGTGTGGTACACCTTTTGGGGGCGGGACACAATTTTAAGAGGGTCTTTAACAAAAGCAATCAGTGTAACCTGGTTCTGTGTACCCTCAATGAATCCCCAATAATAAAATAAATAAATATATATATTTGTGCATGAACAAAGTGTCACAGGCCACAATGTGCTAAGATATATACGTGTGTGTGTGTCCACAGATAATTATCCACAAGTTTGTAATCACCAGCTATCTTAGTACATGTCTCAGTTACATGAATTGTAAGTTGGCATATTAAGTTATTTTGGTCACTGTAATAACTGTACAAGTAAATATGCTATAAAATACTTTTATAATACACTTGAAAACAAAAGAAATATTCATTAATTTCAATTGGATGCTTTCTATTTAAAAACAGTGGGGATAAACAGACAAGTAAAACCCTACCTAGAAATTATTTAGACATTCTCTTTTCCCTTAAACAAATTTATGACTGAAGTGTTAACAAAATATGGACTTTGTGCAAGGTAAGTACATTTTAAGTAAAATTCCCATTGGCCTTTTCCTGTTTTGAATAATCCCCACAAAGCCATTAAGAGTACTAAAATAAAGATACATTTATCACCTAAATTAAATCAGAAACCATGAATCCAAAATGAATAAAAATTTAAAACACATAAGCAAAATGTTTTTTCCATAAACTTGGAAGAAAAAAATTATTTTATACTTCCTTACATCTGTTACATTTTATAAGAATATATTGTTACCATGTATAACAAACCTTTACATACTGCTCATATAACTGTTTAACTGTTTTCAGTCTCTGGCTCTGAACAACTCTAGATTGTTGAAATAACTTTTGTTGCTGTCGAAAAATACTCTACAAATATAAAGAAAAAAACAGGTAACAACAATTTTAGTAGAATTTTAAATTCAGCAAATATGTTCACATTAAACTTAAGAGAAAGTTTTAAAATCAATAATTTAGGCCAAGCACGGTGGCTCACACCTATAATCCTAGCACTCTGGGAAGCTGAGGTAGGCAGGTAGATTGCCTGAGCTCACGGGTTCAAGACCAGCCTGAGCAAGAGTGAGACCCTGTCTCTAAAAATAGCCACGCACTGTGGTAGGCACCTGTAGTCCCAGTTACTTGGGAGGCTGAGACAAGAGAATCACTTGAGCCCAAGAGTTTGAGGTTGCTGTGAGCTATGATGCCATAGCACTCTAACCGAGAGCGACAAAGTGAGACTCTGTCTCAAAAAAAATTTTTTTAATTAATAATTTAAACATTTCCTCTATTATGACCAAGTTTAGATAATTTTCACCACTAACAGGCAACCAGTCAGCGAACAGGAAAGTTTAACAATATCCAAGTCTTAATTCTTGCAGATTTCAATATCCACAAAAATGATCCTCCCAATAATAGGGGCCTTTCAGTTCCCTGACCTGTTCTTCAGCAATGATTTTGCCCTTCACCTCCCACCTAGTTTAGCCATTCATTTATTATATACTGGTGCCCTAGATTTTGTCATTACCAATAACTTTCTATGAGCTGGTACTTATTATTCCCCTTTATAGATGAGGAAACTCATTTTCCATGGTTTCATAGTTAGCAAATGCTCAAACCTGAATTTCATCCCAAACACTTGTTTCCAGTGTCCAGACTCTAACCATTTAAGTTTCTCCATATATCCCAGTATTCAACCACTACTTCCTTACCATTGTAAGCTTGTACTATAGCAAATAACCTATCAGCACCTAAAATCCATTCTTCCTACCTACTTTTCACTGTCATCCCTACCTCTATATCCTCACTTTCTCCTTTTCTGGCTTAAATTCTATCACTGAGGACAACTCTTTTTCTCAAATGGCCATTAGAGCTGTCATTGTACAAGGTCTTACAATTAAGTTTGTGAACTCCCCCTAGAAAAAATGCTTTGAAGGATGGACTAGGTGCTGGTATCAGTGCATAGCTTCCCAAGGGGAGTACTTCAGAGATGACCATAGTGATATTCACCAATGAGGTATGTAGCACTTTTTCTAGAATGAGTTTGTGAACTTAATTGTCAGATCTCAAAGCTTACCCACTTCTTACTCTGTCACACTTGCTTAGCTAAAATCCCAAACCTGGAAATTCTGACTCTCCACTACTATGCCTGGACACAACATCTTTCCTATCATCTGATGTCACTAAACAACTAGAATCAATCCAAAGACAACTTTCAGTATCCCATCATCAGATCTACCCTCCCATCACAATAGCTACTCTCCACTTGTCTGTTCTTATCTAAGGATGAACTATCCTTGTCTCTTGGGTTGCTAAGGCCAGCTACTTTACATACATCCCATCCATTCTTGAGAACTCAGTACCTGTCCCCCTCTTTTCATTATTTTTAACTTTTCTTTCTAGATTATTCCTTTAAGCATACAAATATGCTATTTCTCCAATCTTTTTTTTTTTTTTGAGACAATCTCTCACTATGTTGCCCTCAGTAGAGTGCTGTTGCGTCAGAGCTCACATCAACCTCTAACTCCTAGACTTAAGCAATTCTTGTGCCTCAACTTCCCAAGTAGCTAGGACTACAGGTGCCCACCACAATGCCCGGCTGTTTTGTTGCAGGTGTCATTGTTTAGCAGTCCTGGGCGGGGTTTGAACCCGCCTGCCTTAGTGTATGTGGCCAGCGCCCTAACCATTGAGCTACGGGTGCCGAGCCTGTTTCTCCAATCTTAACAAACCAGAAACCTCTATTCTAGTGGTTCTCAACCTTCCTAATGCTGTGGACCTTTAATACAGTTCCTGTGGATGGCAACCCACAGGTTGAGAACCACTGCTCTATTCCCCTTCTCTGGCTACCATCCCATTTCTTGACTTCTCTATGTTATACTCATTCCAAACAAACTTTCCCACCAAAATTATTATGATCCAGGCTACCAACTTGACCTCTACCTTGGCCAAATCTACTTTATTTGGCCTGTCAGCATATGACAGTTAATTCTCTTTCCTTCTTAAATAGCATTCTTTACTTGGCCTAGAGTAGTATTCTGTTAGACGAGTCATTCTGTATTTACTAGTTCCCCCTCATCTCCTGAAACTCTAAACATGAAAGTACTACAGGGCTATCCTTAGACCTGGTTTACATTTAAAATTATTCCCATGGTGATCTCATCCAGTCTTCATGAGTTTAACCAGTCTTTATGCTGAGAATTCCCACCTTTGTATCTTCAGCCTCTGAGGAACTCAATTCATATCAATGGCCTATTCAACACTTCTCTGTGAATGTTTCATGTGCATCTCAAATTTAACATTTCCAAAACAGTTATCAACCCCAACATTATGTGAACAGTACCTCAGCTCTTATATAAGAAATGTTTAAATGCTTTTAGACAATATATGATTGAGGCTGACTTCCATCTCCCATAGGGCAGGTAACACAAGTCTGGCCCTTAGGAGTATACCATGTTCTGACTTCAGTTGTCCCTTGGTATCCTTAGGGGATTGGTTCCGGGGGGGCCCCCTAATACCAAAATCTACAGATGCTCAAGTCCATTATATAAAATAACATAATATTTACATATAACCAATGCACTTCCTCCCATAGACTTTAAACCACCTCTAGATTATTTATAATACCTAATACAACATAAATCCTACTATGTAAGAAGTTATAGTATACTATTTTTAAAATTTCTACTTTTTATATTACTTTGGGGGTTTTTTCCAAATATTTTGATTCAGTTAGTTGAATATGAGGATGCAGAGCCCAAAGATATATAAGGCCAAATGCACAATGATTGGTTGGGAATGGGCAAATGACCCAAACTAGATTGGTGATACTCCTCCAAAGGAATGTTCAACCAGTGCTATTGAGAAAGATCATCTCAGTCCACTGAGATAACTAAATTTGTAGAAAGTCTAGGATTGTAAGATCTTGCTTACTACATTGATAACACTAAGAATTAAGAGTCAAAAGAACCAAAATGACACTACGTGAACAATCCTTCCCTATTCCCACATAGCTGTGCCTGAAACTAAACTACCTCCAACTTCTTTTATATACACCAATAATCCTTCTTGTGTACTTTGATAAATATTAGAAATATTTCTGGAAATATTAGAATCCCAACCAATATAAGAAATAGAGACTAATGCCTTTTATAAGTATAGTGTGTGCCTACACTGTGGTTTACAGTTCAGCAGAACTAAAACACATAACCAGCAATGATTAATGCAGCAGTTCTCAACCTGTGGGTCGCAAACCACAGGAACTGTATTAAAGGGCCACATTAGGAAGGTTGAGAACCACTGGATTAATGGAACCTGGTTCGGTTCCATGAGTCTAATAAAAGGCTAGGTTCCCCATTCGTACTTGAAACTTGGTTATTATAGATTAATTATAAACCTAATCATGATACGAACAATTAGTTTCTCATCTTGTTCGTCATAGCCCTGCACGTCTGTATCCCATTGCTGAAACAAAGTCACAAACTGCTGAGAATATTCTTGGCTAAGCTTCCGCCTGTAAAACATAATAAGGAATTACTGTCAAATTTCATACCAACCTAAAAAATATAAAACAAAATTGAGTTGACATACTTATACTATAAAAAAAGGAATGCTTTCTTCCAGTAATCAAATTTTTTAAAAAGGGAAATAATTGCAGCTTAAATCTTCTGAAGGGAACCCAAGAAATAAAATTATGATTGTGGTGATTCTAGAAGTATGCAGCTTCCTAACAAGCTAAAAGAAAAGCACCTCTCACACACTTTAGTTCTTGAAAACTGCATATACAAATTTTCTGGAATAATTCATTTTAATCTCATTTATTTTCCCCTGATGAATAAACTGATTAAATGAGGTTATTATATGTCATGTAAGATTTCCAAATAGAAATATTTCTTTTCTTTTCTTTCTTTTTTTTTTTTTGAAACAGAGCCTCAAGCTGTTGCCCTGGGTAGAGTTCTATAGCATCACATCTCACAGCAACCTCCAACTCCTGGGCTTAAGTGATTCTCCTGCCTCCGACTCCCAAGTAACTGAGACTACAGGTGCCTGCCACAATGCCTGGCTATTTTTTGGTTGCAGCCATCACTGTTGTTTGGCAGGCTTGGGCTGTATTTAAACCTACCAGCTCAGGTGTATGTGGCTGGTGCCTTAGCTGCTTAAGCCACAGGCGCCGAGGCCCAAATAGTAATAGTTTACTTGGCTTAGCGCCCATAGCTCAGTGGTTAGGGCGCCGGCCACATACACCCATTTCAAACCCTGGCACTCTACCAAGGGTGACATAGTGAGACTGTATCCAAAAAAAAAAAAAAGTATTTCACTTATTTTTCCTCCATTTTGACACAAAAAAAGAATAGTTACACCAAATCTGGGCATAGTGGCTCATACTTGTAATCCTAGCACTCTGGGAGGCTGAGGTAGGAGGATCATTTGAGGCTAGAAGTTTTGAGACCAGCCTGAGCAAAACTAGACTCCATCTCTACTAAAAATAGAAAAAAATTAGGTGGGCATGGTAGTGTGTGCCTATAATCTCAGCTACTCAGGGGACTGAAGCTGGAGGATTGTTTGAGCCCAGGAGTTTGAGGCTGCTATGAGTTAGGCTAAGGCCATGGCACTCTAGCCTGGGCAACAGAGTGAGACTTGGTCTCAAAAAAAAAAAAAAAAGAAAAGAAAAGAAAAGAAAAAAGAACAGTTATGTCAGCTGAAATACACCAATTATTTAACATAAGATGGACTCTCTTCTACCTTGCTGAACTTAGTTCAGACTAATGATTTCCATTACTTTTACCTGTTATTCAACTATTATATCTCAGGAATAAATATAAACTACCTTTTTTTATTTCTTTATTTTTTGAGACAGAGTCTCACTATGTCGCTCTCATTAGAGTGCCAGAGCATCACAGCTCACAGCAACCTCAAACTCCTGGGCTTAAGGGATTCTCTTGCCTCAGCCTCCCAAGTAGCTGGGACTACAGGTGCCTGCCACAACGCCCACTTACTTTTCTTGTTGTAGTTGTTGTTTGGCAGGCCCAGGCTGGACTCAAACACCCCAGCTCTGGTATATGTGGCTGGTACCCGAGCCACTGAGCCTATAAACTACTTTTATAATTTAAAAACTCAGTATTTACTTAAGGTCCAGGTACAGTAGCTCATGCCTGTAATCCTAGCACTTTGGGAGGCCAAGGCAGGAGGATCACTTGAGGTCAGCAGTTTGAAACCAGCCTGGGCAATATAGCAAGACCCCATCTCTACAAAAATCTTTAAAAAACTGGGTGATGCCTGTGGCTCAAGGAGTAGGGTGCCAGCCCCATATACCAGAGTTGGTGGGTTCAAACCCAGCCCTAGCCAAAAAGCTGCCAAAAAAAAAAAAGAAAGAAAAAGAAAAAAAAAATTTAGCAGGTTGTGGAGGTATGCACCTATAGTCCCATACTTGGGAGGCTGAGACAGGAGAATCACTGGAGCCTAGGAATTTGAGGTTACAGGCATCAGGCCACTACAATCCAGCCTGGACAACAAAACATGACTTTGTCTCTCAAAAGAAGTGGGGGGAAAAAGTACTTGCTTAGAGAATAATCAGACCAAATATATTTTTACTAGGGCCCTCAATAAATAGAAGTTGATGACATTAATTTTAAGTATTTACAGCAATAAATACTAAGAAATGACATAAATATTCAGGGCTTTAAACAAACTCACCTTTGCTCTTGTTGTGACTTCCAAACATTTTCAAATTTCTGGTTGCTGCTTTTGATAGAAGCTTTGGTATACATTTCTAGTCTTTGTCTCTTCGCCATTAGAGTCTTATTAATGTCAGCTAAATTGAAAATAAATACTAAAATTTAATGTTGAAGAAAATTATTTTGTTCTTATATATTCAAGTAAATATGAGTAAAGTTCATTCAATAATATCAAAAAGACATTTAAAATTTAGAAATATAATTTCAAAAACCAGAATTATTTACTTACTTTCTGAGACAACTTTCAGTTGTTAGTATCCCATTCTGACTTTTCTAACTGGAGATAATTTTTTAATTTAGTGATGGTGAAAGAGAACTAATAAAGCAAAGGGTCAAGGACTCACTTAACTTCCTCATGCAAAATCATTAATAATGGCTATATTTTTCTTAATTTATAAAATACTCTCCAATTGATAGGATACATTTAAACAAATTTTTCTTTTTTAAGTTTTTGGCCGGGGCTGGGTTTGAACCCACCACCTCTGGCATATGGGACTGGTGCCCTACCCTTTTGAGGCACAGGCGCCGCCCTAGACAAATTCTTTTTTTAAGATAATATGAAACATACAGAAGTACTAAAAAACAACCTAAAAAGGATAAAGTTACATCAAAGAAAAAAAAATTTTTTTGAGAGAGAGTCTTACTATATTGGCCTCAGTAGACTGCCATGGCGTCACAGCTTACAGCAACCTCAAAGGCTTGGGCATAAGCAATTCTCTTACCTCAGCCTCCCAAGTAGCTGGGACTACAGATGCCTGCCACAACACCTGGCCATTTTTTGGTTGCAGTTGTCATTGTTGTTTAGCTGGCCTGAGCTGGGTTCAAACCTGCCAGCCTTGGTGTATATGGCTAGTGCCATAACCACTGTGCTACAGGCACCAAGCCACAAAGAAAAAAATTTTGAAAATATAGTCAGTGATAGTTTTTTACTAAAAGTGACAAAGGCCAAGGACAGAAAAAAATCTTAGTTTAAGTAACTATATAAATTCATTCAAAACCACTTTTAAATACTTTCATTGTGAAGCTTTTGGGAGACATTTTTGCCAATAAGTAATGCATTTTATGAAATTTTTTAATGCTTCAAATAATGATGGAGCTGCACTATTATATACTTTCATCAGTATCTATAATAATAAACTTGTAAGAGATATTATAAAACAAGCAATTTGTCCTCACCAGATATAGCAAAGTTCTCTAAAAGACCTGATTGTATAACTAATCCATACAGAGGAACCAAGTATTGACTCTTATAATTAAGAGTCCTTTCCCTGGCTTGGCGCCTGTGGCTCAAGCGGCTAAGGCGCCAGCCACATACACCTGAGCTGGTGGGTTAGAATCCAGCCTGGGCCTGCCAAACAAAAAAGATGGCTGCAACCAAAAAACAGCTAGGCATTGTGGCGGGCGCCTGTAGTCCCAGCTACTTGGGAGGCTGAAGCAAGAAACTCGCTTGAGCCCAGGAGTTGGAGGTTGCTGTGAGCTGTGATGCCATGGCACTCTACCCAGGGTGACGGCTTGAGGCTCTGTCTCCAAAAAAAAAAAAAAAAAAAAAAAAGAGTCCTTTCCCTTAACAAAGTTCATGTAACTGATATTTAACATATTATTTAAAACTTGAAAAATTTTAGACCTGATTATAAATCTTTCACCAGCTAGCAAAGTTGTCTTTAGTTCTCAACTACATAATTTGTCAATGTAAAAATAACAACACAGAGGGGCCAGGCAACTATAATCCTAGCACTCTGGGCAGCCAAGGAGGGTGGATTGCCTGAATTCACAGGTTCGAGACCAGCCTGAGCAAAAGCGAGACCTTGTCTCTAAAAAAAAAAAAATTAAAAAGCCAGGTGTTGGCTCGGCACCTGTGGCTCAAGTGGCTAAGGCACCAGCCACATATACCTGAGCTGGTGGGATCGAATCCAACCCATGCCTGCCAAACAATGATGGCTGGTAGGGAGGCGGAGGCAGGAGACTTGCTTAAGCCCAGGAGTTGGAGGTTACTGTGAGCTATGATACCACAGCACTCTACCCAGGGGAACAGCTTTTTGTCTCAAAAAAAGAAAAAATAGCCAGGCGTGTGGCAGGCACCTGTAGTCCCAGCTACTTGGGAGGCTAAGGCAAGAGTTTTGAAGTTGCAAAAGAAGGAAGGAAAAGGAAAGGAAAAGGGAAAGGAAAGGAAGAAAGAACACAAGATTTATTTTGGAGACTTCAATTTATAATATCCTCCCTAAAGAAATGAATGCAGGGGAAATTACAGAAATAACTGAGAAAATGCAAAACTGACATATATACAGAATGTACATGTGTATGTATCACTTAGCCTGTGAATACAAAGAAAAAGTAAAGACTTTCCATACATTTTTCATCTAAATTTCCATAATCTGTTTAAGTTTACACATATATAAAAGCACCATTCACACTTTTAACATAGAAAAATGTGGAAATCTATGAAACTAATAAATACATATACAAAATCCTATGTGTAAGACATTAAATAACAGTCTTATAGTCCACTATAGGATTAGCATTTCCTATTACATAAGTTATATGGCTTAAAACAATTTTCTTCAAATAAAAATTTCTAAAACATACCTCCAAATCTTTCCAGCATATTCTGTACTTCACCCCTATAAAGAAATTACACTTTAAAGCTTTAATTAAGGATCCACAAAATACCATGCCTATTTTATAAGAAATATCATGTGCCAAGTATTTTAAATATATATTACTCATTAACAAACAAAGGAGACTTTTCTTGAAGTACTTTAACAGGCAAAACTTAGTTAAACATGTTACCCAACATCTTCATTTACTCCTGCAGAAACCCTTTTCTTCACTTGTTTATCAATTACTGGAGTCTTTCCTGTATTGACAATAAAAGAAAAGCTCTCTTAAAATTAAGTATGCTATTTCGGTAAATTTTAATGAAGTTTTAACCTCTTCATTGGGAGGGGGTGTTTTAGGCTTTTTGTCGACATACATTTAAAGGAGCCACTTAAGTGCAATACTTTGCCGATGGGCTAGATGAGGTTAAAGCAGGATTCAGCACTATTCTATAGGAACACTTTTTCAAGTCTTACTACATGAATCTCATAGTAAGCCTCGTAGTATTTATCAGACATTTTGGGAAAAGCAAGAATGCTATGAGCGGCCCTAACTCTTACTCTAGGGCTTGAAGATTAAATGAGAAACAAAGTACAGTCGACCTTACACCTCTATCACTTCTGAATCCAAAGACTACTGTATGGGAAAACACTTTACAAATTTTTATTGCAGTTTTAAATGTAGGGGGATCAAAACAAATGACCTACAGACATTATCACTTGCCAACACCAGATACACCGTACCTTCAGTGACTTCCCCTTCCTCTGAACCACTCAGCTCTTTTCTATCTTCTTCCTCCGCGGCATAGGCTCTTACAACCTGATCCTCCACTGGCGACTTCCCAGATTTCCCAGAACGCTTTTTTCCAGGGTGCCCCATACTTAGATGTTTCCCGACCTTAAAAAAACGAATCTCTTAAACCTTCCGAATCCAAAGCATCATTTCAATACACTGATACAAAACAAAAAGTTTAAATATCCAACAAGATATCAAACTAAGGACTATCTTCGTTGAATACAATTTCAGCAGTTCCATTTATTCTGCAGGACCAAAGTGAGCAAAGAAGATGACACTGCCAATTATTAAAAAAGTTTAATGACAGTGTCACCCTGACTCCCAAGTGCCCCGCGATGGAGATGTGGCCCCTGTCATTCTGGAAGATCTGACTTGTAAGGGCCCCTCTGCCAGGTTATGGCTAAAATTTGGGCAAATCTGGTTGGCATCTGGGTCACAAAGATAAATCCCGAGCGCGCTAAACCCAAGTTCACAGCTATGTACATGGGACATAAAAACGTTCTGCAACGTGGGTCGCGGATAATTAACGCCCGATAAGTTGACCGCCAGTAAGATTTCCACACCAGGAGCGTAGCAAGGAAAAATGCAAAGGGGCTTCAGTTAATTTCGCTTTTTTCTGGCCAGTCTGAGCAGGCAGGAGGGAGAAGGCCCGAGGTAGCCGCGGCCCTAACCCACGGCCGCCCCGCCGTCCCTACTGTGAACCTCCCCCGGGGCGCTGGACCCTCCCACGGGGCCCAGACCCCGCTCAGCCCCCGCCCTCGGGGGCGCCCCCAACCCCCAGTCTTCCAGTCAGAAGCCCCGGGAAGCTACACCTCACTACTCAGGGGACGCCCGCGCTGCACTAACTCCTCCCCTGCTCACCCCTCGAAAAACCTTCACTGCCCGAAAACCACAGTTACCGGCCCCACCCTCCACCCCGACAAGTGACCCCGCAACTCCAGCATCCCCAAACAGACCTGTGGTCCTCAACCAAATGATCCACTTCGCGGGCTCGAGGCTCCTGAAGCATCTTGGGATTTGAGCAGGAGGAAAGCAGGCCTTGCCTCAGCCGGGCGCGTCGCTGATTGGCTGGGCGCTGCGCGCATGCGTGCAAGATGCGGCGAGGCCCCTCCCCCCCCACCGCGGAGCGCGCCAAATCACCTGCGGAAGCTAATTTGTCAGGCGGGGCTGGTGCCTTATAGACTTGAGGGCCGATGTTTTCCGGTTTTTTTTATTTAAGTTTTATATGTTGATCATTTTGAAAAGTGCAAAACCCTATGTAAATTATGAAACATGATGAACGCGCCACCTAATTTGTGAAGGAGAACTTTACCAATGTTCACCAAATTTCTTCAGGAAGCGAAGTCCTTCCCATCCCCGCCCTTCCCCATTCTGAGGTATCAGAAAAACCCCTTAAAATTGTGCAACATTCACCGTCATCTTCTAAGGTTTTTGATCCTTAATGACATGTATGTAAACAACACGGCTTATGGGCGGCGCACGTAGTTCAGTGGCCGGGGCGCCGGCCGCAGACACCGGGGCTGGCGGGTTCGAACCCAGCCCAGGCCAGCTAAACAATGACGACTGCAAAAAAAAGAAGAAAAATAGCCGGGCGTTGTGGCGGGCGCCTGTAGTCCCAGCTACGTAGGAGACTGAGGCAGAAGAATCGCTGAAGCCCAGGAGCTGGAGGTTGCCGTGAGCTGTGACGGCACATGGCTTAAGCGATTCTTCCGCCTTCACCTCGCCAGCAACCTCGAACACCTGTCGCCGAGGGCGACAGCCCGAGCCTTTGTCTCAAATAAATAAATAAAAATCAACAACACGGCTTAGGCCTGTGTCAGGCATTACAAAAAATAAATACATTGTCCCGTGGTCTGTTTAGCCTATCGCTGGGAGAATCTATGGTATCACGTGTAACCATAGTGCCCTCGTGGTCCCTGCTGCGGGGTGTTCCACGTGACACGGCCGCCAGATAATTGTCCTGGGATGTCTCCTGCCACGCACAGAATGAGTTCCCCTTGTTACACACATTCGTCATCACCTGCTCTAGGCAGATGTCTGAATGTGGATGCTACTGGGGGTAAAATGATATTTGTTTGGGGTCTTTTATATTCCTCCAGGCACTCACAAGATTAAGCTCTTTCAACGCTTATTAGCCATTTGCATTTCCTTTTCCTTAAAACATCTATTTTGGTTTCTTGCCAGTTTTTTTCAGTGGGGGGTGACGTGTTTCTTATTGATTTGTAGGACTTTCTATATACCAGCTATTAATCTTTAGATCTGTTTTTCTGTGTTGTTTCAAAGAAATTTATCTTTACCCTGAAGTCATAAAAATATTCCCAGGGAAAGCAGTGGGAGATGTTTCTCCCCCCCCCCCCCACTAAAAGGTCCCCTATAGTTCCTGTAAAGGTTTGGTTTGTCGGGGTTTTTTTCTTTTTCTTTTTAATTTCAGAATATTGCAGGGATACGCATGTTTTGGTTATGTAATTTACTTTTGTATATTTCCAGTCAGTTTAAGTATGACCTTCTCTATAAAGGTTTTATATGGTTTATTTTTCATTTTTCATTTTTGTTTGTTTGTTTGTTTTTAGAGACAGAGTCTCACTTTATTGCCCTCAGTAGAGTGCCATAGCATCACAGCTCACAGCAACCCAACTCCTGGGCTTAGGTGATTCTCTTGCCTCAGCCTCCGGAGTAGCTGGGACTACAGGGGCTCCCCACAACGCCTGGCTGTGTTTCACATTTTTGAGTCTTCATTCTACAATTGATTTTTTGTGCCTGGTAGGGAATCCAAATAACTTTTTTGCCCATCTATCTTAATAACCAAAGTTCTAAGAAAAAATTAACTAAGTTTGTTGCCTCAATGGCCTCACCTCCCGCGTACTCTGTAAGCCAGTCTACACCAACTTTGGCCCTCACCATTCCTCCAAAGTGGCTCACCCTCTAAAGTCACCAGTGACCTCCATGTTGTTAAATCAAATGGACATTCTCTGGTCCCCACCTCACTTGACCCTGGCAGCAGCCAACATTGCTGACCACTCTTTCTCCTTCCTTGTTTCTGCCTTCCACTGTTTTGCACAGCTACATATTCCCCTGTTTTGCTCTTCAGGATCTTTGCTAGTTCCTCTTTCTTCAAAGAACTCTTACATGTGGAGTTGCCCAGGACTTGGTTTTACTCAGTTCTCTTCTCAGTGTACATATTCTTCAATACATACATGGCTTCAAATATCATTTTCTCCAAGTGGGGTTCATGGGCCAGCCAGGATCAGGATCACTTGAGGAAAAGGTTAAAAAAATAATGATCGTAATAAAAGATGGGAGGTGGGGAGAAAGGTGTGTTCAAATGCAGATTTCCAGGCCCCACCCAAGGCTTACCAAATTAACTCTGCAGGTGGGGACTGGAAAACCTGCGTCATAGAGACACAGCCTCTGAGTCCCCAGGTAGCTTCTTTTGAGTCAGTGGTATAGGGGCCAAGGGGTGTGGGGCTTTCGCTGGGGTTCCAAGCAGGTAGGCATCCCCACAGCTAACTTCCCGGAACAAGTAGTAGACCATCTCCCAGCTGATGTATCCACTGGCATTTATTATGGTTGGGCCAGTGTTGGAAGTGGAAATGTCTGTAAGATGGTGGTGAGCATAGGCTGGAACTCCTACGACAAGAATACAAAAACCGTCCATGGAAAAGCTTATCATGCATATCTTCAAAGAGGACTTCTATGGGAAACTCCTGAATGTGGCCATCATTGGTTACTTCAGGACAGAAAAGAACTTTGATGCTTTGGAGTCACTTTTTCCAACCATTTAAGGAGATATTGAAGAAGCCAAGAAATAACTAGATCCACCAGAACATTTGAAAATCAAAGAATACAGTTTCTTCTGGGTTCCTCAAAGCAAAATAAGGGGCTCAGCACCTGTAGTTCAGAGCCTAGGGCGCCAGTCACATACACCGGAGCTGGCAGGTTCTGTCCCAGCCCGGGCCTGCCAAATAAACAATGACAACTATAACCAAAAAAATAGCTGGACGTTGTGGCAGGTGCCAGCTACTTGGGAGGCTGAAGTAAGAGAATCGCTTAAGCCCAAGAGTTTGAGGTTGCTGTGAGCTGTGACACCACAGCACTCTACTGAGGATCAACATAGTGAAACTCTGTCTCAAATAAATAAATAAATAAATAATAAAAATAATTTAATTAATGATCTTTAAAACTTTCCACAGCACACCAAAAGATCACCGCCCCCTCCAACAGCATACAGGTTGGAAATAAAGGCACTAAAGTTTGAAACCCCTAATCTGACATTAACAAGAACAACTCAACATCTCCATCTTGTGGCTTACTAACATCATTGCCTTAGTTTTTTCAAATATTAGGCAATGACTAAAAAGGAAAAAAATAAGGAGCAGATGATATGAATAGATTCTCTGCTCCCCAAATTCAAGTTTGCACTGTGTCACCTTCTGACCTTTCTAGCTCCTGAGAACTGATCAACATTCACGTTCCAAATTTAAGCCTTACCCAACTAAATAAAAACGTAAGAATTGGGATGACTCTGTCTCTATTTCATTATGAAGTTTCTTATAATGCAACCAAGGGCATTATGGATTTTTAGTGAGCCTTCCTAGGGTTGACTAATAAAAAGCATTCTACTCCCCCACTAAAAGTTTAATGTGGCATATCATTAGTTTACCTAAAATTTCCTATTATTCTAGTTGTAAATATTCATTGTAAAACTATTTTTGGAAGGTATAATTTATGAAGGAAATGACATTCACTCATACCCACTACTCACAGACAATACACAATTTTAAATTTGGGTTATGATTTCCTTTCATCTTTTTTTTTTTTCTGTGCATGTACAGTAGGACCTCTGTAAGCTAACCACCCAAGGGACTGAAACTGGTCAACATATGCAGGTGGTCACCATAAGGAACTAGGCCTACAGTACTGATATGTACACTTGGTGTATGTCCAGTTTATGAAAATTAGGTCAACATAAGGAAGTAGTCAGCTGCAGAAGTTCTACTTGGATGTATTATGCCCCCCAATCATTTTAAAATATATTCGAACTTCTGCACCTACCTTAGTTTGCTACCAGGTCTGCAATATTTTTT